GTGCAGAGATTTTTTCATCTTCACCTATTTCTGCTCCCTTACCCTATGCTACTGCAGAATTCTTCATTTGAAGGCTTCATGGCATTTCCACCTTTTCACATCATATACGGTAGAACATTTTGAATCAATCTTATTCATTAGACAAAAATTAGTATTGTGGTAGACAATTTGATTGGTGGCCACATCCAATAATAGGAAAGGACCTGCAGAGGGCTTGGTACACAGTAGTCCCTATTTTTCTTTAAAATAGAAGTATTTTAAAATAGAAATAACTCCATTTAAAAGGAAAATGGAGTTATTAAAGTTCAGATTTCCTGTTCTCTTTAGCTCGCAGACTGCTATTCTCTGTTCACCCCTGAGAAGAGGAGCAGAGAACTCTTTTCTGGAGATACTGACTGTGTCAGCACCCTTCAGCGAAGTGGTTCCCTCTACCAACTTCCTTCATGCACAAGGAGGCTTCTAACTGTTAGCGAAAAAGCAAATGGTCGAAGCTCTTGGAGAACTGCCTACGGTTTGAAAGAGAAATTTCTTCATTGTCTGAGAGAAAGAGAGCTGAGGTAAGAACCAAAAAATAAAATGAAACAAAACAATAGCAACAAAATACCCAGAACCCCAGGAAATGTTAAAAAGGGGGAAATGACAAGCAACAACAACATAATATGCGCAGAGGTGTTAGATTATATTAGAGGGCATCCAAAGGAAATACATAAATATTCCTGAAATATGTAACTTAGGGAAATTAAAAGATGTAATAAGACCTAGGTCATCTGCATATATGTTACAGCTGCGTAGCTTGATGTTCCTGTGGGACTTCTAACAGTGGGAGCAGGAGCTGTCCCTGACTCCTTTGCCTGCTCTTGGGACCCTTTTTCTCCTACTAGGTTGCCTCACCCAGCCTTGATATGAGGGTACAGGCCTAATCTTATTGCTACTTGTGATGCCGTGTTTGGTTGATATCCCTGGGAGGCCTGCTCCTTTCAGAAGGGAAATGGAAGAGGAGTGGATATGGGGGAGATAGGAGGTGGGAGAGAACTAGGAGGAGAGGAGGGAGGGGAAGCTGGGGTTGGGATGTTATACATGAGAGAAGAATAAATAAGAAAGAAAAATGGTGTAATAAATTAGACTCCAAGACTAAAATGGAAAGTTCCACAGAAAGGCACACTGATGAGAGATTGACAGGAGAGCACAGATTAGGTCTGAATATGACTCAGAAGGTCTAGGATACGAGCAACAGAATCTCAGTGAGCAGCAGAGAACCTGGAAACAGCAGTGACTCCCAAGGTGATCCGGGAGTGAAGGGGGTGAGCACAGGATGTGAGGCTCTCACTGTGAGCCCTGTTGTGAACTGAGCATCTGCAGGTAATGCCTAGACATGGACAAGTTAGGAAACACTACAGGTGTGCTACCCGGAAATATGGAAGTGAATTCCAAGAAAAAGGGAAGGCGTTTGTTTGCTGCCTAGAGAGAACTGGTCTGAAATGCCCCTGGTCTTGCTGCTTTCATGGTGTCATATGGTTAAAGATGCAGGGTGAGAGTTAAAACACACCACACACAGCACCACACCTGCATTAGTTTGAGACAGCGTCTGCTTTCATTCAGCGTGCTTGAAGTCCCAAAACATTTGGGATTCAATGATGAATTTTTCCATATTGAGGAATAATCTGTTTGGGAATCACTAAGCATTCAAGAATATGAAATCCATACTCAGCTGGGTGATTTAAAAGATTTTATATGAAAGATTTTAAGATAAGCAACTTCTGCCTCATTTACAGACCGAGAAGCCAGCCCCATGTGAGAGGACTCCACACTGACGGATTACAGTTGCGAGATTTAGTAAAAATGCCCAGCCAGATGGACAAGCCCAGATAATTAGTTAAATTGGTGAAACAATTATTTTTTTAGTTCAAGTATGTCCCCATCACTAAATGAGACATATTTATCCTAAATATTATTCATTATTTATTGGAATTCAATTAATGTAGCAATCATAATAGGGTTTGAGAGGAATTGATTGAACCTCTTTTTTTCCCCCTCCTTCCTGACTAGCCCGTCTGTCATCCATGAGCTATTTAAACTTGCTTCAAATCTGCTTCCCTTTTCAGGTTCTATCAAGCTTTGGTGTTGTCGAGTGCCACGAAATGACTAACCACATTTGACACTGGAAGAGTGAGCCCATCTCTACTATTCTGGTAGATCTTTTCTGCAGCAGGATAATGACCAACATACTGACATGGATGGACACCTTAAGGATAAATGTAGCTGAATGTCTGGTAAGCAAGTCTGATCTCCCTTTCCCTTCAGTGGGGAGGAAGTGAGATGTGGAACTTGAACAACAGTCAGACACTTGGGAAAGGGTGGTAACCTTGTCCACAGCTGTCAGACGCAAAGTTGCTCTTGTCTTCCCTTTGAACTCAGCTGTCACCTGTCAAGCTTTCCTCTCTGTCAATTTTTTTTTTTTTTGCTGGAATTATTCTCTGGGCCTGCTTTCACCTTTGATATGGTTGAAGAATAATTTTTTTCTTCTTCATTGGCAACTGGGTGGTCAGGGCTGGTATTTGCAATTTTCAAATTCTTTCTGGAATTCAATTTTTCAAACAACTTGGAGGAATAAAAGAAGCCAGTGAGTGGTTAGTTGTGTGTCGCTGTTTTTCAGTTATTTCCAGCATGGCAAAAGAAAAACAAAAGCAATCTGTCATGGACTTGGGAGTCCGAAATTTTGAGCTTCAGCATTCAGCATTTTTAGGCCCCACAGTCAAGCTTGCTGAGACCTGGTGTGTCCCACGGGAGTGGCCTCCTTGGCTGTTGCTGTGACCGACCCTTCTCACTTTAAAAGGCAGAACAACCTTCTCCCTATAATTCTCATCTTTGATTTTCCATCTTTATCCAGATATGTCAGTATATTTCTCTGTTCTGGGACTATTGACTTCAGAAAGCATTTTGTAGCTTTTGCAATTCAATCTCTCTCTCTCTCTCTTTCTCTCCTCTCTCTCTCTCTCTCTCTCTCTCTCTCTCTCTCTCTCTCTCTCCAGTTGGTCTATTTCAGTTACTTTATTCACCTTATCATTCTTTATCCCAAATTACAAAGAACCAAAACCAAGAGTCCCCTCCAGAATTTCGAAAATAGCAAGGCATTTGTGGAATGAACCATGTCATAAAGATCCAAATCTGAATTCTGGCTCCATGCTTTCCTGTCTATGTAATCAAGACTAAGACACTTAGGTTCTTCCTCCCCATTTCCTTAGCTGTAAGTAAATAGCAACAATAGAATCTACTGTGTAGATTGGTTTAAATATGATAAGAGTCAAGTGGGCATTGTAGTGCCTACCCATGCAGGCCACAGAGTAAAACATAGCCATTTAGTAAGCACTTCTACACAAAAATACCATGATCTTTGTCAATCCCAGGAGTATCACCCAAACACATAGTGTTGTCAGCTCTCTACAGATGCGCCATTTCAAGCTCAAGGCTTTATTGCTGGATATACAATGTTTAGAAGTCTAGAGTTCTGGTGCTGTTTAGCTCTTTCTGGTACCTTTACACACAAGTCAGGTGATGACCTCATGACCTCAATGGGGAGGAGATCTTTTGAAAAGCATCTTCCTTCTCTGGACCAATCTCCAAAGTTCCCCACTCTGTGTTTCTGTTTTAGTAAGTGGAGAAGCAGACTGTTTTCCAAATCTGACTTGTGTTAGCTCTTGAAATCTTTTCCATTGCTTCTCTGAGGTCTTTTTTGCCTCCAAGGAATGGAAAAGTAACAATAACAACAGCAACAATAACAATAATATCACTTCAAAATAGAAAATCAGTGACATATTTGGCACCTCTAATGAAGAGCATTACCATGTGTGGTGGTTTGAATGAGAATGGACTATTGGTTTGGTCCCCCAGTTGGGAAGGATTAGGAGGTATATCTTGTTGGAGAAGGTGTGTCACCCATGGTGAGCTTTGAGATTTCACAAGCTCTTGCCATTCCCAGTGTTTCTTTCTCTGCCTCGTGGATGTGTCTCAAGATATGAGCTCTGAGCTACTGTTCCAGTGCTCTGCCTGCCTGCTGCCATACTCCCTGCCATGACTGTCATGGACTCTAACCCTCTGAAATGGTAAGCTCCAAATAAACCCCTCTATGAGTTGCCTTGATCATGGTGCTTCACCACAGCAATAGGAAAATAATTAAGACAGTGGCTACTACACATGGTCGGGAATTGTGAGAATATTGGATGCCACTCGCTTAGCATGGGAAGTGCTGCCTACAGATGCTATGGACATATTTCTGCCATTTGCCACTGAGAAATGGCATTAGCAACGTACTTCAAATGGCAGGGAGGCATTTATCCAGAGGACCACCACAGTTTTGGTCTCTCTGGCACAGAAGCTAGGGAGTTACGGTAAATCTTCCCAAGTGTTCACCTTTGGAAGGATTTCTCCTGAGTGCGAAACAAATAACACTGGGCTGCGTTCCCAGAGGAAACTCACCTAGTTATCAGGACATGTCTGATGTCAGAGGATAATAGGGGCTGTCTTTCTTTTAGCACCCACGGCCTGGAGAGACAGCTCAAGCAAGAGAGTGTATGTCATGCAAGCACGAAATAGAAGGAGCCATAGAACACACACAACAGCTTGTTACCCTGGCTCTGTGAAGAAGGGAGTGTAGAGACAGGAGAATCCTGAAGCTTGGTGGCCGGCCAGCCTAGCCCGACAATGAATTTCAGGATCAGTGAGACTTCTATATCAAAAAATGAAGGTGGAGGGCCACCAAGAAAAGATGTCCAATGCCAACTTCTGGCCTCTGCACACAGGTACATCCACCAGCACATATCTGTATGTAGCCATACTCACAAGTATATATACCCCCGGTATCCCCCAACACCAGAAACATCAAAATCAGCATTGTATTTGGACATTAATATATCTAGGCCAAGGGTCAATCATAATTGGTAGAAAGTATGACTTTTGCCACCTAGCTTTGCTCTATGAGGGCAACTGACAAAGTTCTCACTGCAAGTCTGCAGAGCTTGTCGGTCTCCCTCTGTTTGTTCGTATGTACAGAAGAGACGGCAGAAGCTCCAGCAGTTGTCCTGTAGCTGCGAGGCAACCAGCATGGGGACAAGAAGGCGAAGACTAACGCCAGCTGTCACAATCAAAGCTTGCGAGTACCTTCACGGTCCCTTCCCGAGTAAGGCGAAGCAAGAGGTAGGGTGGAGGGGTCAGCCGTTTCAATCACAAAGCAGTCTGAACTGGCAAGTGTGTTCTTGGTGGTGCTGACCATCGATAGTAGGCCAGATTTTTGAGCCTTCTTTTGTCTTTTTCCTTATACGATTCTAATGTTCTAACGCCTTCTTTGAATTAATCTTCCAAACTCTTTTCACTCTGTTTTCCACGGTACCTATGTGACAGCTCAGTGAGTGGAGAAATCAGCATGGTGGTCCCAGAGAATCTTGACTTCGTTACCATGACTTTGTGGCACAGCCAACAGTGTTTCTTCAGCTGTCAAAGGAGAGAAGATGACAATCACGCCAGTCATGATGATGCTAATAATGGTTAACATCTATTGCCCATTGTGAAGGCTCTTCTTGGTTGTTAACTTGCCTGCATCTGGAATTAACTAAAATCCCAAAATGGAGAGGCACACGTGTGAGGGAATTTTTCTTAATTTGAAGTGGGGAAATATGCTTCTCATTTGGATCTTTGTGTATGATGAAGACCTACCTTTAATCCTGATCATTTGAGCTGGGAAAACTCACCTCTAATCTGGGCCACCACTTCTGCTGGAAGCCTATGTTAGGATGTGAAAGAAGGAAGCTTTTGATCTTTGCTTGCTGTGCTTTCGCCTTGGTAGCAAGCCCATTCCTTCACTAGCATTAGAATCTACTTCTTTTGGATTCTGGTACCAGCTGGGACATTAAGCTTCATGGATGGAACAGTTACTGGATTCTTGGACTTTCTGTTGGTATATACTTATATTGGACTAGCTGGACCAAAGCCTGTAAACTGGTCTAATAAATCCATATATATTCATACACACACACACACACATATATATATATCATATATATTATATATTCATTCTGTCAGTCCTGTTACTCTAGAGAACCCTGACTAATACACTCATTTATGGAATTAGGCAGTGGGCTAAAGAAATTTGTGGATATTATCTCAGTGTTCTCACTGGTAAAATGTAGGTATTTATTTATTATTTTAAACTGATAGATAGTAAAACTGAAATTTAGATAGCTATTAGGTAACTTGTCTGAAGTTATGTGACTTTGAACTTACATCTTTAAGGTAGACTCAATGTCTGTGTTAGCCAGCCTCAAAAAGCCCCTCAGTGATTCTGATCTCCTGGCAGTCATATGCTTGTGAGGTGACCTCACAACTTTAATTTGTGTGATAAAAAACATACAGTTCTGCTCCCCTAGCCTCCCTTCCCCTTTCCTCTTTTCCTCTCTCTCTCTCTCTCTCTCTCTCTCTCTCTCTCTCTCTCTCTCTCTCATTTTCTGGAGGTGACTGGTTGCCATCTTTTGTGCTTCCAGGAATTATGTACAGAAGCCCATACATAAAAGTCTGGGGTTTGACCACGGCTCACAAGCAGATTCTTTGCCTCTGGTCCAGCTTCTAAAACTACAAGACAGTGTACAGGCATCTTTGGCCTTCTTTCTGTATTTCTCTTACATTTTTTTCTCTGTTTCTTTCTGGCTCAGTGGCAAGACTGTTAGATTGCAAAGAAGAAAAGTCTAATGTAATCTGTTCCAGAAAGAAGGAGAATTTCCAGGTTGGTGTCAGTGAAAAGTCAGAGAGCTTCAGATAGCATTTGACCTAGAAGTTTATGACATCATTACAAGTATGCACAGTTCAGGGATCTGCTTGACTCTGATTCCCCTCTATGTGTTGCTTCATTGCTTTTTTTCAAGTGGTGAAGATAACTTGTGTCATTCAAGTTCCCAGAAAACGAGGCATCAGAGGATATGCATGTATTTTCCCAGACTCCAAGTCTAGTCAGGAGGATCTGGAAGGGGCTAGAGTACATTGTTAAAAGAGGTTAGTATTTGTCCTGTGACATCCATTCTCATCCCTCTTCTCTTTTTTGTGTAAGTGTGTAATGTATGCATGTGTGCATACGTGTATGGTAGTGAGGTCACATACCACTCTGGTGGTCTTTGGAGTGTCTGCTTCCCAGAACCAGGAAGCTCTTTAAGTGAAAACGGAATTCTGCTGAGAAAGAAGGAAGAGCAGAGAAACGCTGTCAACTTTCTACTAATTTCTTTTCTCTATCACACTTATTCTATTTTCAAAACCCATGATCAATTTTGTCTGCAATTCAAGAACTGCCATTGACTTTCAGTAGTCTAAACAAAAGAAAAATCAGGAAGTTACCACAACATTTGGGGGAATGCTAATACTCAGATGATGATTGGTAGTTGCTCTGCGGACCTTTGGAAGAATGAGGGAAGATTGAGGTTCATTCCTTTCTTTGATTGTTGGATTTGGTGAGGAGGAGTTGAGTCTCCTTCACAAAAGAAATGCTCAGAGCGTGTTTGTCACTTGAATGTGTTTAATCACTACACACTGAGAATTAAACCGTCATCACAGTGAATCCTGAATGTGCCATTAACCCAGAAGAATGTGGGACAAGGAAGGACTGGATTATAAAAATGTCTAAATGCTTCTTGCTGGAGAGAATAAATGATCTTAATGGCACAGAAGTCTAAGTTTAGGGGGCACTTACAGAGAGAAGTTGAGAAAGAGAAAACTTTCCTAGTGCAAATGGAGGTTTCTCTGTACCACCCTGTCCAGCAGTTGCTTTTAAAGAATCATTCAGAGATTTAATATTAACTACAAAATGCTTGGCCAAATGGCTCAGGCTTATTACTAACCAGCTCTTACTTTTAAATTTACCCATTTCTATTCATCTATGTTTTGCTACATGTCTTGTGGCTTTACCTTTGCTCTAATATACCTTGTTCCTCCTGCAGCTGGCTGGCATCTGCCTCGACTCTGTCCTTCTCCTCTCTGGATCTCTGTTTGGCTTCCCTGCCTAGCTGTATTTTGCCTGGCTATAGGCCAAATCAGTTTTATTATTTAACCAATGAGAGCAACACATATTCACAGCACATGGAAGAATCATCCCACAGCATTCTAAAGTCAATACTCAATTTTATTTGCTTATATTGAATTTCATTGTTTGCTCTTCCCCTGGGATTCAAGGATGGGATAGTGTTATATTTTGGAACTTAAGTATTCCTTAAGGACTTATATGCTAAAGACTTGGTCTGGAGCAGACAATACACATTGGAGCTGGTAAAACCTTAAAGAGATGGGATGTTTTTATAAGGAAGTGAAGTTCCTGGACCTCAGCCCCTTCTCTTTTCTCTGTGTTTCAGCCACCATAAGGTAAGCAGTTTTGTTGCCTGCCCCACAGTGGTCTGTCTTACCTACCATAGACCTTAAAACAACTGAGCCATTGACTGTGGATTGAAGCCTTGCAAGCCATGAGCTGGAATCAAATTTTCTTTCTTTAAGTTGACTTTGTCACAGCAACCAGAAACCAATTGAGATATTCAATATACTGAGAACTTGCTTTGAACATGTGTCCTAGGACAGGGCTTGGGGGATGATGGAAATGGTTTGCTTTCCTGTTTGTTCCCTGGCGTCCTGAAGAGATCCATCTATCTGACCGACTGAAATAAACTGCTACAAAATGGCTTGCTTCCCATCTCTCCTTCCCTTGAACAGAAAACAAGTGTTGGGGGATTTCAAAAGGCATTGCCCTGAAACTTCTGAATAGAGCTAAAAAACAAATCTGTCTTTGAGAGAGGCAGACATTGGCATTCGAAGCACACAAAAGTCAGTGGAAGAAGGCCCTAGGAATGCTTTATGAAGGAGAGAACAAAAGCAATGGTGCAGAATGGCCAGGAGCAGACCAGGAGGAAACTACTGCCAATGGCTAGTCTTTATATTTGCATAAGAACTCTCGCTAGGTGCATTGTTTCAACTGAGTATTTTATAATTTGTCACCTTGGGCTGTGTCACACATCAGTCAGAGCTAAGAGCGTTCGCTCAGTGTCTCTTTTCTATTGTTGTATGAACAATATGCTTCAAACACTTGTCTAAGCAAAGTCTATAGCTGCTTCAGGCAGGAGCCATGACTGCTGGGATATTATACTAGGGAAGGGAGTGTGATAGGGAGAATGGCTTCACTGCGTATTAGTGGGTAGCTTGGAGTAAACACTTACTTGGTGCTCACCGACGTTGAACACCTTTGGGTGTTTGGCCTAGGTGCCACACATCTCTGCTGACTTGTTAGGGTCATGTGGTGGGAGGGGTAGCTTCATTTGGACTGGGCTGGCCACTGCATCTACACAACCCTCAGCTGTGCTGGCTCTCACAGGCCTAGAGACTGTTTAATGAACACTCAGTTTGTCACACGTTTCCAGAGTAGAGTGTTTGTCGTGAGTGTTTGCCAAGACCCTTGACAGCCAATGCCTCTACTCCGAGCCTATGTAGACAATATAATGAGAACCTTTGGCTCTGCATCACAGGGAGAGCACTTCCTGTCTCCTTGACAGTGGTTGAGGGTCTGGAGATGACTGTGGTCTTGGAGAACAGGGATGGTATTAATAGATCTTGGCATGCTTGGGGTGGCGAGCAGGGTGAATGGAGAGAGTTGAGACACAGATGTCTTCAGTATAGGAAGATCGAGATACTTTTTACAGATGGGGCTACAGTCGGCAGTTTGTTTATATTTCTTTCTGAGCTAGAGTCTCATGTAGTCCAGGCTGGCCTCAAACTGAGAATGATCTTAAACTTCTGACCCTATGTCCTCTATCTCCTGAATGCTGTGATTACAGCAGCACACCACCAAGTCCATTGTATGCGATGCTGGCAATTCAACCTAGGATTTCATGAATGGTAGACAAATACTCTAGCAACAAACCTACATCTTTAGTTCCAGCAACAGATTCTAATGGCTTATGCTAGTGTTGGAGTGGCCTTGATATCTGCGCAGACTTTCTCCAATGGTGCAGGAGACTGCACCTTAGGGAACACCTTCCTGCTGAGTTACTGCTGGTCCCGAACGAGCTAGTTCTGTGGGAAAAACAACCCTTTGATTTCCACAGGAGACATGACACTGTCGACCTGTATGTCATGGTTCTAGGGCCAGGGGATGCAGTCAGCTCTACCCTGATGGCATGGTCCCCTAAAGCTGGGGTTTCTGAACTCTTTTCACTTCTAGACTTACGTGGCCTCCACCAGCCTTTCTGACTCTGAGGTTCTGGGTATGAGTTTTGAGATACCTCTGATGTCTCTGTAGGCAGTTCTGAAGTTGGACAGTTTAGGGATCCTTCTTGATGTAAGTGTGGGAATTAGGAGTCAGGCTGCATAAGGCTAATCCTTTTTTCTCAGGCTCTTGAGCTTGGACACATTGTCTAGCTTGTCAAAGCTTAGTGGGGTAGTCATTGCATGATGTAGTGGTCTTCCTTGTCTCC